CAACCCGAGCATTAAACCCTTCATCCAACATTATGTTACTCGTCTTGATGTCCCTGTGGATCACTTGATTCTCACATTCTTGGTGTAGATATGCCAATGCTGAGGCAACACCTAAGAGAATTTTTCTCCTGTGAGGCCACGGGAGAGTCATTCTCGACTCGAATAACGCCTTGTCCAGGCTCCCGTTTGGCATAAGGTCATAGACTAGCAATATTTCGCCTTTCTCCTGACACCATCCTTGAAGCCGAACAAGATTCCGGTGTCTGAGTGTGGCTATTATGGACAGTTCTGATAAAAACTCTGTTTTTCCCTGTCCTCCGGCATGACTGCACCTCTTCACTGCCACGACTTCGCCGGTTTCCGACAGTGTCCCCTTGTAGACGGTGCCATAAGCGCCATGCCCGATGATCCGGCAAGAATCGAATCCCTTAGTAGCAGATTTTAGGCTTTTGTATGTGAATTCCTTGGGCATTTTAATGATTTCTGATGAAAAAGATTCCCGGGTTTTCACTTTCTTGAATTTCTTCGAGTATAACCAGACAAGGGATAGAGCAGCAAACGCTAAACAGAATGCCCCCGCCGTGACCACTCCGACGACCGCCCCTGCTCCTTGCTTACACAGCTGGTTGTGGCACTTTCTGCCGCCATTATCCCGGGAGGCAGCGGCGGCGGTTGTGTTGATATTGCTTGACTCGGATGGAGCTATGGAAGGCGGAGGTGCCGGAACGGAGTTCGCCGTGGGGTTCATCAAAGTGGTAGTGGTTGGGGGCGGCGGCGGAGGGGTGGTGGAGGTCGGCGATTTGGAATCCGGCTCGAATGAGGAGGTGAAGCTCCACCATTCGATGCTGTGGATCTCTGTGCTCCCCTGAGTTGACCCGGAGAATCCGACAAACATGAAATCGTTGACGTAATGGCCTAGGTTTAGTGGGATTGATAAAAATGGGAACTTTGGTTTCAGATTAGAGTAAGAGACGGATATATTGAGTAACTGAGTCGACCCGGAGTAGTCAATCCACGAATTGACCAGGTCACCGCTTTTTAGATTCACGTCGGCGGCGTCTAGATCCCCCACCTGAGAAGATACCATCGAGTTCAAATCCAAGCCCACGTGGTTCCCGTTGACGTCTTTAAACTCCAGGTCCATTAAAGTGTCGAATTCAACCGCCACGGCGGCGCTCGCCGCCCCCGTTGAGTCCATGATTCCCATGTACGCGCCGGCGTCTCCCACCGCCTCATCTTCCGGAGTGATGACAAAAGCAAGGCCGCCCCCGATGGAAGACGGGTTCAGGTTAATGACCGAGAACGAGAAAAAAGTCGAAAAGCTCGCCGGAGTGTTCGATCCAGGCTGCCGGAACCTGACCGGCCTGGCGTACAGCACCCTCCCGGCGCCGGAATTGGGCACGGCGAGGTCGCGCGTGAGGCGCACGGTGCTGTTAGACAAGTGCGCGTCGCCAAGAAGCTTCAAACTGCTCAGAGTCAAGGTCCCGAAGTCAAACTGAGTGGTGGCCGCACTGCCTGAGAAGCAGAGGAATGAAAGAACCAAGAAGACGGCAATGGCGCCGGCGAATTCACCGGAAAATGACATCATTGCTGGATCTGGCGTCAACCCATTATCATTCCGGGAAGATGGATGAATTCACGGAAGGATAAGATTAATTTTCTAAGAGAAGAGTCCAAAAATCACGAGATAGAGAGAGAAGGGGGGGGGGGGGGGGGGGGGCGAACAGAAAAACAGGGATGTGAATGAAAGAAGAAGAGGAGAGAATCCCAAGTGATGGGTGGAAGAAGACATGTGGCTTTGGTTGAAGGCCACGTCGCCACGTGTCTGTAACGGTAAAATTGGCAGTGCGGTGATAACTCTTACAAAGTTGCCTGGTGCCATGTTGGATTGCTGGTCTGGTCTTTGTTGTCATTATCCCAAACTACACATCTTATTGGTCCAAAACCTGCGAAACTTGTCAGGCGTTCAATCAAAATTACACACAGTAATAAGAATTTAGAAGAAAATTATTCCAATGGGTGGGCGTAGCTCAACTAGTAGGAAGGGAGTGCCACAAGAGTTAGGTCCCGGGTTCGAATCCCGTCAACTGCGATGAGGGGTTACTATGCGAAAAAATGCATAGGGTCTCTGAAAGTACCGGGGACAGAGCTCCACTCTCTATCTGTCAGATTGGGATTATAGTCCAACTTACATCCTCCCAACGTACCGTCCGGTCGGGTTGGGGGGCCTTCAGGGATGAAGTGTCATCCTTTTTTGTAGAAGAAAATTATTCCTCTCCACGTACCGTTCGGTCACGGTTGAGAGATCCTCAATGATGGAGTGTATCCTTTTTTTAGAAGAAAATTATTTTTGGCACCCTTTGTAAGAGTACATATATTACGATGCTCAACGTACAATCGTGTATTTTATTTTATACTCCGTAACTAATAAGTATAATGTTAAAGAAATGAGGATTAGTATAAAAGTGTGTAATAGAGTATTATGATATTCGCGTGATATCTATGCTACAAATCAACTTATTTATTTAACTATATTATCATTGTATTGTCATCAAAATTATTTATCGTGCTAATTTTATAATTTATACTAATACTTATTGCATTTAAACTATATATTCATTAAGTATAAACTAAAATATTCGGCTATACCGTGTGCATGGTACAACCAGTTGTACCATATAATTTACGTTTTTGCTATTTCTTTTTGAAATTAAGGCTAATCACAACTCAACCCGTCAATAAACCTAATCCTCCACCAGTTTATATGTATTCATCCAGTCATCCCAATTTTTCTTATTAATCCAACACCCCATCAATATATTCACTCATCATATTTTTTTAATTAAATGCATAAATTCTTACATTTTTATTACACATCATTTATGTGACAATATTATTTTTGTCAATAATTATGATTTAAAAAGTCAAACATTCCAATGCAAAAAATAAAAATGTGAATTATTATTTTTTGTTACTTCAGACATATTTTTAGATGTAAAAAAAATAACCATGAGATCTTAATTTTAGAAGAAAATCTACTCCTGGAAAATTTTGTAAGAATAATATTGGTGTCATATAAAAGATCATAAAAAGATATGAATTTTGATATATTTTTTGTAAAAGTTGAATCACTATATTAGGTCTTGACACAATATTTAAGGGAGAAATAGCAGGAGTAAATGAATATTGTTGAAAAAGTAGGAGAAAAGGTGAAAAAGTAGGAAATAACGGATAAAAAGTAGAAAAAGTAAGGGTAATTGAGTATTTTTAAAGGAAAAACTTATCAAAACGGGAAAGTGTAGCAAAAAATTTATATACATTTCAAATAAAAAAAGTGTAGCAAACTTTTAAATAGGAAGGGAGTATGACTTTCAAAAAATTGAGTTTTTTATTTTTTTGTGTGAAGCGGTGAAGCCTACATTCTTTTGTTACTTTGCACAAGAGCCGTTACCCAACATTCTCTATGGGTGCGGGTGAATTAGCCTTGCTAACTCCCATCCTACACATCTCGAGTGGGGTGAAAACCTCAAATTTTGATTGGCTAAATGAGATGAATTTGGTGAGTTATGCGTCAAATTGTATTTAGAATATTTTATTAACTTTATTGATAACAATGACATTTCTAACAACAGGCCTATATGAGAAAAATGTTATAGAAAAATTAGAGTAGATTTGATGATCATGGTTTTAAGCTTATTAACCTTATCAATCAACTTTTGCATCACACATAATTTTTTTTTCACACGCTATGTTGTGTAATAATCAAAATAATAAGTCAAGTTAAAGTTTCTTTTCTGGCTCGATTGACCCAAAGCGAGAGTAGAAGACCATTTTAGGTATATTTTAACATAATTTTTCTTTATTTTATGAATATTTTTTCCCATAATTCAGCAGAATCTGTTAATCCAGCTAGAACCCCCAAAAATTAATCAGAGTTAATCAATTCTGCCCATTCTAGTTCTGCCAATTCCAGTGTTACTTAACGGACTCTTAATATTTAGAAGATCACATTGATGTTTTATACGAGTACTACAATTCAAAATCAACACATTTAGATGGAATTTTTAAATGAGGGGCAAGATGATATGAAGTCAAATCTGCCAATTATTTGAAAATAGAATCCTGTGATAATACACACATCATAAAAAGTAGAGAGTATCAAACTTGTGAGCATCTTTCAATCAAACTAATGAGCATATTTCAATTTGTGCTGAATATATGCTCATTGTCATCCATCACTTCTTCATAGAAAACCTATAACTTAATGATCTCCTAATAAATCATTAAATCGCCAAACTTCTATTACACGATTACATCCACCAGTTTCAAGGTAGAAATAATTGTTAAATATTTGGAAAATTTCTTTTGTACACAGCCAAGTTTTACACGCCGGGTTACACGCCTGTCAAATTGTCTGTGTACAGACAATTTGATCGACTACACATTCATATTGAGCGGCGATTTACGAAGAAAACCGATTTTCACATTGACAAAAATAAAAAATGTTTGTATCACAGATACTTTATGAAAAATTCAGGTTTAAAATTGATATTTTGTCTGTATGGAAATCGATTTTCATCATAAAACGCCGGTCAAATTGTCTGTCTAGCCGATCAAATTGTCTGTATACAGACAATTTGACCGGCGTGTAACCCGGCGTGTACACGAAGCGAGACTCTAAATATTTATCCTTTTCATATGATGCAAACTTTCTTATCCTTTTCATATGATGCAAACTTTCTTATCTTAGTCACTAAAACCGTAAAACCATAATCACATCCGTCCTCTTTTAGCTAGTAGATACATCTTCTTCATCACCACCCATATTATTCATTTGATCTTCTCCATATTATTTTCTAAAATAATTTTCATCATCTCCTTATTTTGCTTGAAACTCAATTTCTTTACCTACTTTATCCACCTCTTCAATTCTAGCAGCCTTGGTCTTTTTGCTTAAGTAGCTTGGTCCTTCTCAAACACTTCATGCAACCAATTCATCATAGTGTGAAAAAGGTTTATTCCTTAAAGTAATTAAAAAGGTTTATGCCATTGTGACAATCATAATTTGGACAGAAGAGCTCTCCATATATATTTGAGATAGGTCTAACTTAGTTACTCAAAAGCAAACACTTAATAACTCTTTGTAGCTAGGTACAAAATGATCTTTTTAGTTACTATTAACAAAGCGACAATCCTTTCTGATCTCTCCTTGATCACCTGTTAGCGGATTATTCTCGGACATAATGAGAAGGGCTCGAGAAAACTGGTCATGGAAATAGCCATTATCTACTGCCATCTTTTGAACAAATTGAGAGGTCACTGGATGACTGGCTAACTCTTGATCAATTACTAATAGACCTTTGTGCTCCAATAGCCCTTTGTAGTACATGTTGTCTAGAACCATAGGAGTCTCAAGGTCATTCCTTGCATACTTAGGTTCCAGGGCTCTCGGGTCCGGGTTCGTCATGGGGCACCGCAACTTGAGGTACTCGGCGTAGTCGGGATCCAACGTCGGGTCAACGTCGGGGTAGAGCCTTTCCACAATGTTAATACAGTGAACTCTGCCTACCGAGTGAGCACCTGAATACATAAATTTACGATTCAAAATTAATGGATGCAATGTGTAATTGTATATACCAAGTATGCCTTAGTATTTACCAAGAAGGGCAACAGTTCCTGGCGCATCTATTCCAATGGATTGGAACTGTGACAGAACTACGTCCATGGTGTCATTGTGGTTGGGGATGAAATTCTCGACTTCTGCTAAATAACTTGTTGTGCTGTCCATCCTCCCTGTCTTCATTGCAATATCTGGCCCTCCTAACTATACTTACAATAAGTTACAGATTATCATAGTCATATGTTTGTACCTATAAACATTGTTTTCGTGACACTACATTGTAGTAACTATTAGCTTTTTTATGAACATAAGTTTTATTTTAGTAATTTTTGTGAAAACCCTTTACTTTAAGTACAATTAAATAATGAAATACTCTCTTAGACCAATCAAAAGTGTGATGTTTTCACATTTGTATTGAACTGTAGCAATCAAATTTCAGTAAATGTGAAATCATTTTGTCATTCTTTTGCATTCATTCTACTGATCATACAATTAACCTTAATTGCCAAAATTATATATGATGATTGTAGTTTGTAATTACCAAAGCGGCACCATCTCTAGCAGAAAGAGCAACAATATCGGCACAAGAAACAGTATTTGGGCATTCTTTCTCGAGAGCAGCTTTGATGGTCTGAATATACTTGAAATTTCTCATTCCAAGGTTCCTTGGTGACCCCTTCTCTGATTGTGTGCCACCCACCGTGTCCAAAAGTATAGAGGCATCGCATGACTAACATAATAAAAATCACCACTTACATTAATAAAACGGGTAATAGATAAAGTTAGCCCACTAAAATATGATTGCGATTTCCCCAAAAAGAAGAATCAGATTCCTAAAGTGGTTTTAAAATGGAATTAATATATACCAAATAAATATATCGAGTCTCATATAATATAAAAACATTAAAGTAATACTACACCGTCCTATTAAAGTGTAACGTCCCAACCCGATAGGCCTAAGTTCGTTATTCCTCATTTCTTAATTAATACCATCTATCGAATAATGTCTTCACAATTCACAAACTAATTTAACATAAGTTTTTAACACACACTTTTTTTCTCACAAATCAATAAATACTATTCATGTACAAGCACGCTTTATTGTGAAGCTCTTACTAGATAAGCTCTTTAAATAAAGGTACATCGATTTCATATGATTAATACTCTTAAATAATTTGAGATTTTCAATCCTAGCGATGGTAAAGAAAGTCTTGTATTAATAGAATTAAGATGTTTTTATTTGGACTGTAATTTTACTGGTCTAGTCTGGTGTGGGCCTGTTTAATTCTGGTGTTGCCTGTTTGAGTCTGGTCCGATCTGGTCTGAAATAGTCTGATTTGATCTGGTAAACGTCTAGTCTCTAAATGAAAGTAGTAGTTCATCTCATCTTCTTACAAAAAATAAATTTATAGTTGATTACAAAAAATAAAGTATAGTCGATTTGATAACATTAGAATAAAATGTTAAAGAAAACAAAAGATATAAAAGAAGTAATAAAATATTATAAATTAAAACTTTTAACGATCTCTATAAAAGATTTACTTCTTACAAAAAATAAATTTATAGTAGATTATCATTTACAATATCACATAAAATATTCAAAGAAAATTAAAGGAGTCGGTGGTACAAATGTTGTAATATTCACAAATTTATTCAAATGAATCGTGTAAAAAATATAAATGCAATTTGTTATTATTATGATCATCGTCAAACATTTTTTCATACAGATAGAGTACAAAACATAACAAATACAAATATATCGTATTAGCTAACTTTGTCATAGTGAATGTATGAAATGTGTAAAAGTTAAAATGCTATATGCTAAATATGTATTTTTCATATTTAAATTATTTATTTAAATCTTCAAAATGAAGAGTGAATATATATAATACAAACTATATATTACAAGTTATTCAGTGTTCGATTCGGTTTACGTTTTTTCGGTTTTAAACCAAACCAAATCAAACCATTCGATTTGAGCAAATTGTTACCAAACGGTTTACTCAAGTAAACCCAAACCAAACCAAACAACCAATTTTCGGTATGGTTCAGTTCGATTCGATTCGATTAAACCAAACCGTTTTGCCCAGTCCTATATTTTCATATGGTTTGGTGTATTCTTGCGAGGTCCATTTAAGAGTGATATATAATGTGTCAAAAGTCAGGTATTATTTATGTATATCTTGTCTAAGTCTGATTTATGGTATGATTTATTTAATTAAATTTGATCTTATGTGGTTTATTTGTTCCAAGTACAGTAGAGTCTGACTTAGCCTAAAGTTCAAATTAATTGCGGAGTCAGAAAATCATTAGGGGGCCACACTTAGTCATGTGCAGTATTAAAAGGTTGAATTGTTTTATGACTAAATTTGAGTTGAAAAATTTAACCATAGGTGAAATAAACGATTAAATTTCCAAATTTTCTTTTTCGGTGTACCAAAGTAAACTATGACTTTTTCTTTTTGGTAAGAAATTTATGGCTTCACAACAATGCTACGATTTGCACGGTGCACATGTGGCATGAGAGATAGCAACATAAATATTAGAAAATAAATTAGTTATCTCCTTATTTGAATGATTTTTTACGATTTTGGTAAGTTTTATCGACAATGTCAAAAGGACCGTCTATATGTTGACATTGTTGTTGATATTGCAGAGAAAACCTTACCAAAATTGTATAAAATCATTCAAATAAGGAGAGAGGTAATTTATTTGTTACTCCGTAACATTTTTATGGTTATCTCTCATGCCACATGTGCACCGTGCTTATTGTAGCATTAGAGATGCTCTTATACATTCTTACATATTCGTCTCTCATCCTCACAACTCCCTACCACACAATACCAAATTTAATTTGGAATATAAACTTCATGGAGTTAAAGAGCGAATAAGACGTTATTTTAAAATATGGGGATACAAATAAAAAGAAATATTACAAATCAACTTATATTCACTTCAAGTTTAAGAGCCTATTTGGTAATACTCAAATCTACTTTATTGTTTGATTCTACTGAAATTTATGACGTTCTGGTTGAAGCAGTTAGATTGGCTGATTTTGCTGATTTATGAAAAAATGGGAAATTATCCAAAATAGGAGCAAATGAGATTTGGAATTCCAAAATATGACTAATATGTTTTTCTTCCTGAAATAGGAGTTGTTAGTGTTAAATACACTGTACTGCAACTATTTGGCAATAACGCCTATAAAATGACAATAAATACTCCCATGTTAGTCCCATTTCGGGAATAAGAACATAGTCGTTCTATGTTGAAATTTCAAACTCCATTTACTCCTACTTTGGGAAGTAATAAAATAAAGAAAAAATTATATGAAAACAGCTAAAATGATCATATACAATAATTTCATTCAATACAGCCAGAAAAGTAAACCCGACTTTACATTTTCATATTATTACACAATTCACTGCACGAATCAAAAGTTACATGTTTGATGAAAAAAGTTGATTGATAAGCGGAAAAACATGATTACCAAACGGGCTTTAAATGATGATAATATTTAAGAAGTTGTAACTTTTGACTCGGACAAGAGATAATATATCAAACCCAAGGCTATTCAATTCTCTACATTCTCAATGAAAACATTCTATGACTTCAAATAATGAAAATAGGTAATTGGAAATGATATTTTTAATTACTTTAGTCCAAATATTTTATAATTTAAATGAACAATAATCTTAATGATATCTTGAGTTATATCTGATGTATGTAAAAGTAAGGACATGTATATATATATACCTTGACCATACAATCATGGAAAAGGTTTCTAAGCCAAGAAACAGCCGTGTTCCCATGCTCCTCGTATAGCAATGTTACTTGTTCCTTTATTATCTCCTCCGCTTTCGGGCAACTCGTTGAATAGTAACTCATCTGCAGATCACTAGCTTTTGCTGTATTTGACATAAAGAATCGGATAATTAATTACTCAAAAAGAAAATAAAAGCATAAAATATGGAATACTATATACTACGTATGTAATAAAGATCAAATATACAATTACATGTTATTCTAATTAATTAATTAATTAATTTTCTACATGTAACGTGTGTGACTATGTAGGGGAAGTTTTCTGTGAAAACTAAAAATAAATCAAAAGCATCGATCACAAAAAATGTATTGGGTCGTTTTTAACTAAAAATATGCCGTGGCAAAACTATTTATTCTTATGTTAAAAGTAAACCATATATAAAGATTAAATATACATATAAAAACATACGTATATTGTCAGATCATGTTGCTAAACAAAAGAAACACGGACAGAAAATTACCAATCCCGAGATGAATATGAAGAAGAAGAAAGGGGATGAACGGGACAACCAGAAGGAACTTGAAGTTTGGATTTGCCATAATATGTTACGCTCCGCCTTTCCAAGATATTGACTAACTCCGCAAAACTATATATAGCCTTTTAGCACACGAATTACTCATATAAAGGAGTAGTACTTGATTATCCATTTGACTTCACATGTATTAAGAAAATAAATTTGACTTTACTGTGGAGTGTACTGTTTTGCACTATTCAAACACTGTTTGGACACTGTTTGACACTGTTTTGATGTAGATAATTTGCCAAATAAGGAAAGTAAAGAAGTGTGAACTTAATTTAGGGACTACCCAAAAAGCAAAGTGATTACTGAATTGCGGGACGGAGGAAGTATATATTATACTTCGTACTACATGTAGATAACTTAATGTAGATAACTTATACTCTTTCGGAGTATAAGTATTCTTTTGGATGGCGGTTTATAGACTTGTCTCAAAAAAACACGAGATTGACCAGTACTTTTAACTGGGATACTAAAATTCATGAAGAATTTGGCGAGAATATGTCATATATATGTCAAAAACATTTTGACATGAGTTATTTGACAGAAATTATAGATCAATCCATGTCAGATCCGTGTCAATTTCATATTTTTTTGGTAGCACGTGCATAACCTCGACACCTATAATATTAAAAAAGAAAAGAAAATGGGTGGATAAAGATGGAAGCAATCCTGTCCCACGAAGCTAGCAGCCACTTTCTCAGGCCACCAAGTCCAAATTGACCTCTCATGGGGTTACTATTCTCTTGCTCCCACCGAAATCAACTTTGGAGTGGGTAGCTATCGCCTATCTGGCCGCCAGTGCGTTTGACAATTTGAAGGGTTTGTATATATTGCAAATAACAGTAGTTAATCTTTACGCATTGCGTTTTGTTGATGCTTATTAGTCCCTCCAGCTCATTTCTTCCAAGTTTGATTTGGCTCATAAATTTAGAAAGTGAAAATAAAATGGAAATGTATGGTCGTAGTTGTGTAAGAAAAATGTAAATGAATGCGTACACATATTTTTTCTAAAAGTGAAAGTTGGAAGAATTAATTGGAACGACCCAAAAAAGAAAGTTGGAAAAAATGACTGAGACCGAGAGTGTAATTATTATTAGAAAATCAAGCCAACCAATATTTAAAAGCCAAAGAAAAATTGATTTCGACTAGGGAATACTACCTCCGTCCCGCTATGATTGTCCCGTTTTACCGTATCGGTCCGTCCCAATAAGATTGTCTCATACCAATTTTGGCAAAGTTGTGTGGCTCTAAATTATTCTTACTTTATTCTTACTTTATCAATTGAATATCAATCACATAAACCAATTTTTATTGGTTTGCGTGTCACTCCCTCTTGTCCCATTGTTAGCGGGACGGAGGGAGTATAAGTTATGCACGGGCAATACTCCATTCCAAACACTTGGTATGATATAGTACCCTATGCCTTAAAATTTTGTCAACTTTTTTTTGGTTGTCTCACCAACTTTATCACTTTACCTTTTAAGTAAAGAATTTGTGGTTTCAGTTAATTCTTTTTTCACTCCACAATTTCAACTACACGGTTTTTACTTTATAAATACTTGTGTCGGTCAAACTTGGCAAAGTTTTAAGAGACGGAGAAAGTACAATATAATACAACACTTGTGCATGTCGATATGGCAAATTATACCGTGGGATCGTTACACCGTGAGCACGGTGTACCGGTCCTAAAACGGTACACTTATTATATTAAAAAAAATCGCCACTCAAATAGTGAGTTCCAAGTTTCCAACATTCACTGCTGCTTAGAAACAACGATCCTCCTTACTCTCTGTAATTGCTGGGAGCACCGTGTCGGAATAGTAGGTCTCTTCGGAATAGTAGATCCTAATCAGATCTACTCCATGCGCAGATTCAATATGTTATATGTATACAATAAGTCATACCCACGACTAAATTTATCTGTTTGATTCAAATTGGAGGGAGAAAATATGAGGAAAATACTTGTCTATACATGTCTTCCACTTGAGTTACGTACATGTTATTATGCGTGTGTTACATCTTGTTATGCGTGAGTTACATCTTCTTATACGTGAGTTACATATTTTTACGCGCGAGTTACATCTAATTATGCGTGAGTTACATCTAATTATTTGTGATTTTTTACTTATCTTTATCTTTAACTAATTAAATTACAACTGAATTAATTTTTTTCTTAACCAATTTATTACAAAATTCTATTTATCCACGTAAAATAAGTATATTGTATTTCAAAATCACAAAATAAAACCCTTTTATTGAATAAAAAAAAAATCTTTTTTTAAAACAGTTTTCCTTTGCAAGAAAATGATTTCCTGAAAACATTTTGTGCTCTTAATATTAAAAACAAAATATATTCATTATTTAGGTAAAGTAAATAAGAAATTAGACTCCTTTTTATTGTTTACATTGAAATCGTTGTTTAAAACAAGTTACATTTCGACTTCCCGCAGTAACATTTCTTATTAGCGTGAGTTACATTTCTTTACATTCGAGTTACATCATTCATACTACTGGGACAAAAAGAGAAAAAAAATAGGTACTGTACAAGCGTGTATTGTTCACGCGTGCACTGTTCACGCGATTTTTTTTAAATTGATTAAAGTTGTGTCGTTTTTGGGCCTGGAGCATGGTGCTCACCGTGGGATGATCCCACGGTATACGAAATTTGTCAATATCTGTTCACCTCCACAAATTTCATGGTACTACCCGTTGTACCTTTAACATGGTGCAATCAGGGGAAGATCTGCGTATAGGCTATATAATGGATTGAAGCCCATGACAACTTAAATTTTCCTTCAATTTTTTAGTGTGTTTTTTCATTTTTCATATTTACTCTCTCCTTATAAAGTTTAAGTCTAATATCATTACTCTTCATCCCAATCTAACATAAATTCCCAAATCCGCCTTTGGGTACAACCGGATACTTTTGTAATATACTAGTATTGTACCTGTGCGATGCACGGGATAATATTTTTTATGTTATTATTTATGATGCATGACAATAAATAATAATTGAATACAGAGTATAATAAAAAGAAACATATATAAATTGTCATACAGTTTACAGAATGCTAAATACATACTTCATATATAATTTTTATTACAATAAAAAGACATACATATTAAAAAAGTATAAACATTTAGTGGGGAATTAGAGTTGTCAAACAGGCCAACCCAATGCAATCCGACACATGACAGGTTATGCTTTACGTGACGGGCCAATTCGTTTAATGACGGGTCAAAATTTCTACAACCTAGCCCATCCCACCTTCCTTGCGAGGTAAACGGGCCAACTCGCGGACCAATCTATAATAACATACATAACAAAATTATCTAAAAGCAATTACCCAATAGTACAAATTTATATTGGTAATAGTATATATTTATATTGACATGTAGTAATACTCATTCACAAAAGTAAAGATCTACTTAAACCTTTTGAGTGATTATTCATTTATTTGTATATCATGAATGCTAAATGATAAAAAATATTCAACTTTACTTATAATATACTCCGTATGTTTGAACAATTTATTTAAATAGCTATTATAGATTTTATTTGAAGAGTTATTATAGAAATAATCTTATTTTGCAGTGGTTGTAAAATGATAAGTATATAAAAATTGTAATTATAATAATCTTGGTAGTAAAAAATACTATTGAAGATAATGATAGTCAAACTGTACATTTGCCTTTTGACCCGCGAGCCAACCTGCAACTCGTGCGGGCCAACTCACTTGACCCGCAACACGCTTAGGTTGACCCGTGAAACCCGCGAATTAATCTCGCAAGAAAATGACAATCCTAACCCACCAATAATGGGTTGAAATAGGCCAGCCTGCGGGTTTTCGCCCAAGTTGACGGCTCTATGGGGAATTACTCTAGGAGCTTCTCTCCAACAACATGCACCACCACTCCCTTCCCCTGATCATTCAGTCTGCCTTCTCCTCGCTACCGATAGTGTCACCGTCCTCTCTCTGCGTCCATCTCCTCTATCCGCATAATCTCCTCAAGTCACCACAACATATTATTAGTACTATAAACATGAAAAAGAATAAAGATTGCATCAAGTACAAACACAACCAAATCAAGATATGTAACCATTCAAGAAAAACTATCATTCTAAACTAATAGCCACAATCTCTCTTTTAGTATCTTCAAAGATACCTAAAAAAGTGCACATGTAAAATGTTATAAGAAGATGCATAAAACTAAAACAAATTAGATCTATCTGCCATAAAAAGCGTACAAGAATATAAAAAACAAAATATAATACATAGATTTAAATTTCAAGGTATAATACAATATCTTAATCATTATCATCTATTATAATTTCAAGGAACTTATGAGGGCAACCCTTCAAAACCATGTCTTTGACATTCTACTTCAATAAAACTACACCATTGACATCTAAATGACAAAAAATAATAAATCCAATTACAAAATATAAATCAATGATATTTTATAATCGTTAGAGTTTAATTATGATTAAAGTTTAAAGAGACATACCAAAAGCTCAATATAATGGAAAATAAATAAAAAACTAAGAAAATATTTACAAACTTATAAATTATCAAACCAGCCCACTGATTATACGCTATAATAACACACTACAATAATTTCTAATGATAAAGAATCTTCAATGATGCTTTTTTGCCAAATCCTCAATCGACCACCGCTCTTGTTTCAGAAATTCAGCATTGGAAACTGGAAGGTAGAAACCTAGTAGTTAAAATACAATTAGTGATGTGTCACTGTTGTTGTATTTTATCAGCATCCACTTCTACATTTATCAGCAAACTATAAGTCATATACGCATTGGAAATAGGTAAAGAGATGTGGAAGACAAAAAGACTTTTTTGAGGCCAAGTGTTACACACAAATTAAGCCAACATAATTAAGGTATTTAGTCAATTAAAATACTCCCTCCGTCCCGCTATGATTGTCCCATTTTACCTTTTCGGGAAATCCCACTAAGATTGTCTCATACCAAATTTGGTAAAGTTTGTGTGACTCCAATTCATTTTTACTTTATTTTTACTTTATCAATTTTATATCAACCACACAAACCCATTTTTCTTAATAATCGTGC